TTCTCGAACGATCTTAGCGCTAGGATGTCCTAGGTTCTTATCTTCTAACGTTGATCCTAGGACATCCTAGCTCTAAGATCGTTTCGAAAATATGTGGCCAGATTTTCTATCCAGAATTCAAAATTAAATTTTCTGTAGTGTATTCCTCATTTTCTAATACATCCACTGTAGAATAGTCTGTTAAAGTCTGACACTAAAACTGTTCATCGTCATCCGATTGTTTTAAAATATTGGATAATAAATTGATAGCTTTAAACATCTGAGATTGTCTCATATTTTTAATGTCCGTCGGAGAATCTGGTATCACAAGATTTTCTAGTTCTTCTTTCACTTTATTTTTTACTGTTAATGTCTGAAAATAGAAATATTGTTTAATATATTTATTTTCCTTCTGGGCTTGGAACGATAAGTGTATCCATGCAAGGTGCAATCAGAGATTTAGTCATCAGTTCAACTGTTTTTTTTTTTTTTGGGGCCTTGTTCTCTTTAAACTCAAGTACAATCTTAAACTTACTCTAACTCGTCCCTTGCCAGTTCTACTTTTCTTCTCACCATCTTGTGGATTATTGATAGGACTACCTGCTAGAGACAGGATTCTCTCCCCTGGTTTTGGATCTCGGTTCATACCCGGAGTAAACGGTAATCTGAAACAAAAATATCATGTTATAAATTTTCTTTTTCAATGCTGGGTAATTATGACCGATAAAATCCTGTCAGTTATTGAACCAATTCTTTGATTACATGACTCAATTAGGAATTAAAGTTTTGATAATCATAAATTCTGATGATGAAATATTATAGAATATTTACCTGGGGTCAAATTTAGGTGTAATTAAAGGCGTGGGCCATCCTGATGTGGACATAGTTCTACTTGCTGGAGTCATTCTGGAAAGAAATAATTAATTTGTTTAATTAGTGTAATGTTAAAAGAGCTTACTTCAAACATGGAATTTTTTTACATATGTCAGTTCAATTGCAAGATAAGTAACGTTCATTTGCAATAAACATCATTCTTGAGTCATCCAAGATACCTCAGAGACTATAGTCATCTATCTATTGATCCTCTTTTGGACTTTGGCTTATACTTAGTGCCATTTGTTATTTAGGTGGATTATTCGATTAGCCCAAAGTTACACATACCTGATTCTAGAAACAGACGGAGGAGCCATCAGAGATTCATTTCCTTTCGTTCCTCGTTTTCTTGTAGATTTCCTCACACCAGTTCCTGTTGTTGATTTATTGGAATTCTTCTGCAATTTCAAAATATTATTTATATAGTGATCACCAGATGCTAATATTTGCGAATAAGAATAGTAGCCAAAAGTTTTGAACGCAACTCTCATGCAACTGAGAGATGCCTATAAAAACTACTGGCTACAGAAGTGTACAGAAATCTCAGATTCCGATTCAAACCGTTGCTGTGAAAAAAATCCTTCAAGAAGAGCACTGAATTGTTAATCAATCAAAAGACTCAAGTACCTACCCTAACAGTTCGTTTCTGTGCTACAGGAGTCGGCTCCCCTTCTTCTTGGATGACTTCACACGTGGGTAATATTTTCGGGTTCAATTTTGATCTATAATATATAGGTTAAATTTCTATGGAAATTGAAAAATAATAATACCACCACAAAATGTTAAAAAATTTTACTTGCAGAGTTTTAAAATATTTTGAGCTGAAACATTAAACTCCATCTGCTGAATGAACATTGATTTAAAGAAATGCTGACTTGCATCTTAATCTGATCAATACCAGCAGCTGGTCTACTGGCCACAAAATTATATGTATACACCAGCTGTTTTTATCAAGTGAAATCACATAACTTTTATACACTTCCAGTTGATATTACTTGGAGTTTAGTAGGGTATATGAAGTTTTTATTTCATTAACCCTTCGTGCTAAAAATGATAAGAAAATTCAGACTTACATGGACTGGGCTAATTTTCCAGATATAGATAATGAAGAAGGCATAGAAGGGGCTGATTCACTTTCTGCTAAAGCTGCTTCAATCGTTCCACCTAGTTCTGAAATTGATGAGTAATTATACAGTGATTTGGACTGACAGCATTTTCAGAAATATTAAACATTTCACCATTGTTCCTTAAATATTTTAAATTTCCTGTTTATTTGTGCATCGAGAATAATCTGTTTTTTAGTATTTTGTTCTCAACATTGAATCACAGAAACAATATCTTACCAATAAAATCTTTTAATTTCATCTTTTTTATGCACTGAAAAAGAAAAATCAATTAGAAATGAACTTATTTACATCTATGAATCTGATCTGAATGATTGTTTAAAGAGGTTTCCTGTTAATGTCTATCAGGGAAATTGGAATGGTGCAAATTGATGCTATTAGTGTCCCCGATAGTCCTAAGAAATTCAGAAAACCTCTTTAGGATCGCCTTTAATGTGTTTTATGGTGAAAAATGCTTTAAGGATTGGAACCTTAGTTTGTTTCTTTGAAAGGTTTCAGAGCTGGTTATCTACAAAACTGCTCACAAGAGCATGACAGTGAATTCTATTACATACCGCAGGAAGCTGCATTATTTGACAGTGTAATTTCCTTTCTATAGCATTTAATAAAGTCTGTTGATCCAGCGCCATTCTCTTTATTTTCTCTTGATCTGAAAGGAAAAAAGAAAAAATTATTGCTTTTGTATTTGAACTTATCATCCTGTTTGACAATTATGTCATTAGCAAATTAAGACAGGTTACATTTTAAACCATCATTGATATAAATAGTTTCAATATAAGGAAGGAATGTATCAGTATCACAGACAATGCATCAAGGTCACTGATATTTTTTTTTTCTGAAGTGATTAAAAGATAAGTGTGGTGACAGATAATCAGTGAAGCTTCAATAGCATTTCATACTTTGAAACTTACATTTAATATCAAAATCTTTAGTAAACACAGCCAACTTTTCATGCCTCTCTTCTTCTGTCAGCGACTTCCCTTCGTCTCCTTCAGGACATTTTGGTTTGTTTCTTTTACTGACTTTAGCCGTTCTCTTGCGTGGCATCGTTACGCAAACTTTCTGTAAAGGAAAGTATACTGTGTACAGACATAGGCTAACAATAACATAAATGACAAAGTAGCAAGATTTCCAATAAGAATACAGATCAGAAGAAAATCCACCAATCCAATGTCAATCAATGGGACATCAAGGCTATCACTCAGTAAAAATCATTAACAACTCCTGAGATTGCCCGGTTTAAGGTGAAATGGGTCAAAACAAGTCTTTTCTTGAATTAAATCTTAGCCATAATCTCTTGAGCAATTGTTGTCTTTTTATCAATCAAATTTTAAAAAGTAGTTGGTCTGAACTTTCGCCTTCGGTTTAAAAAACTGAAAGCAAGTCAGTCTCCAGGCATATGATAATGCCATAGGCTATCGTTAAATCGATAGGGCCTAATCGACGATCATTTGAAGGGAACAAGCAAAACACATATAATCCATAGCACATAAGAATATTGTTTCAATAAAGGTATACCTGTTAAACATAAATAAACCTTGATAATTTCGTTAAAATTTGTTCAGTTGATTCCTTTCTATTCAGCGCCCTTTTGAAAGTGAAAATTTAATCCAATCAAAATTAAGTATTCTCACTTCCGGTTATTTACATACGGGTATTTTCAAGATGTCAGCCCGCTGTGTGTCAACATTAGCTTCTTTTGGAAAAGGAAACTGGAAGGTTTCAACCAATCTTCAAGTAAGCGTGCCTGAAATGACGACTTTCCTCATACTTTCGACGCTGAACATATTTATATCATTGTTCATTTTGTCCTAATTGCAATTTTTACTTAAATTCGGACTTTGTATCCAAGGGAGGTAATTTTGGCAAAAGAAGTGCTTTAAAAGTTTAACTCAGACCACAACTAATGGCTTGAAACCCTGAACAACACTGTTACTGAAGCGATATATAAGCCCATCATTCTAAAGCCTAATTATAGCTAAAAAAAATGTAATAATTATAAAGAAAAACCTTATTGTGTGAAATTTTATCATTTTTAACAGGTTTACCTTCAAAGATGCCTGAAATCAGGCACTGCAGCAGACAGAGCCAAATATTTTCCTGTAGCGACTAACGTTATGCTACCAGCTGATACATTTAAAGGAAAAACAGCGTTTATCACTGGTGGAGGGACTGGATTAGGGAAAGGAATGACTACATTTCTTTCAAAACTTGGTGCAAATGTTGTCATCACCAGTAGGTCAGTCCTTTAATCTTACAGAATCTTTCTTGCCATTTGTAATGAAGACGAGAAAAGAATTAGCTTGTGTAAGCTTGTATCCAGTAATCTCTTCAAAATATATATGTGTTCTTTCTGCTAATGAAGCTCGATTCCATGTTTATTATTATTTTCCAGAGTTTATTATTATTTGCTGGTAGTTGTAGCACATTTCAGAAAGAAATCAGATTTCAGGTTTCTTTGATGTCATGTTGGTGTTATTAATCATTTTATAAGTAAGGAAAGTAAGATAATTTGAATGCTGAATTGTATGTTTAATATATTTAAAGGAGCGTTGATGTGTTGAAGAAAACAGCTGAGGAAATTTCAAAAGAAACGGGCAATAAGGTATGGACTAAAAGGAATGTTAACAGTGTCTTTTAAATCATTTCTTTATCCAGATACCTTTTTTAACCACATTAACAGGTCTACTATAGTAACATGGCTAGATTCACTAGAATGTACTGAAACAAGAAGTTAGATTTAATCTTACCATATAATTAGATATTTGTACATTTATGAGTTTTTTTTGCTCAGATAATTATGGCTTTCTTATACTTTCTGTAGGTACTAGCAGTAGGAGCTGATGTCAGAAACCAAGAAGCCATTAAAACAGCGTTAGATAAATGTGAATCTGCATTCGGGTTACCAAATATCATTATAAATAACGCAGCAGGAAACTTTATTTCACCTACTGAAAGATTGTCAATGAATGCTTGGAAGACAATTATTGATATAGTGTTAAATGGTACAGCTAATGTCACAATTGATGTTGGAAAGAGACTGATAAAAGCTAAACAGGGTAGGTATCGTTCAGCTATTTCAACTGTTTAATTTTCCATGAAAATACATTGTTATACAAATTGCAAAAAATATTGGCAATTTCTGACTAAACGTCTTTGTTGTGTCTGCTATTTATGAGAGTCTAACGAAGCACATTTCAATTTCACATTTCATTAGCACAATTGAAAGAGAAATAGAACCATTTTGATAAGGTTTCCCCTAATTGTCATAGGTTTTCTTTTCTGACTACAGTTTTGTAGCTTCACATTTACTTTATTGTTGATTGAAGTTCTTCAAGGTATTGGAAGATGGATTGGTTTTTGTGTAGAAATTCTTAGTTAAACTCATATTTTACTCTTTTTGTAGGAGCTGTTTTCCTATCTATATCAGCTGATTATGCTGATTCTGGATCAGGTTTTGTTGTTCCTAGTGCCTCTGCTAAAGCTGGTGTAGAAGCCATCACCAGGTGAGGACAACTCTGAAACTGAAGGATTAAACAGAAAGAAATTATTTTATGAATTTGACTGCTGTAACACAGTCCAAGCCCTCGCTTCTTCAAAATAATCTTTTTATCAAAATTTATATTTTAAGGATTTAAAAAATATATATTGTTTTTTTTTGATTTTTTTGGAAATCAAGGGGACCATACTTCTTACTCCAAATTTTATATAGTGCAAAATGATGTGAGGTTTTCAGTGAATGGTTTGGTTAATATATGAGCTTCTGAAATACTGCTGTACTGTTAAATTCAAAATAATGTATGTTTCAGATCATTAGCTAGTGAATGGGCTAGATATGGTATGAGGTTTAACTGTATTTCACCTGGTCCTATAGAAACTCAGGTATGCTTATTCAATACTGACTTTTCAATAAAACAATATTAAATGTTTATATCCTACTTTCTGCCTTTGGTTGGTTTACCATTACAATAAATGTGGATAACATTTAATGTCATATGATATTCTTTTCAGGGAGCATTCAGTCGGCTAGATCCTACTGGAGAATTTATGAATACTAAAATAGGAGGTATACCAGCTGGAAGAGCAGGGGAGGTGGAAGAAATTGCCAATTTGGCAGCCTATCTTGTCAGTGATTATTCTTCGTGGATTTCAGGGCAGGTGAGTTGGAAAATTTTATTTGCCCTGGGTAATGAGAGGCCTAGGTATATTAGTAAATTCTAGCACCGTCATCTGATAAAGTGGCATCTGTTGTTTCAGAGGTGAAATCCTCTTCTTTTGCTTTCTTGATTCTGTAACTAAATTGGCAAGTAATTCTCATTATATCAATTGCAATTTTAAACAATTTGTTGAACTTAAAGAGTCTTGGAGAGCTGCAAATTAAATAAATCTTATCCGTCATTTCACAATGCATGGTGGTGACTGTTATCTCTAATAGAGTGCACTATAGCAGGATGTAAAACTCAGTTTATTTCATATTGCATTTTCAGATAATAAGATTAAATGGTGGAGAATATCCAAGTGAAGCTGGCATGTTTAATCCATTAAAACTGGTTTCTAATGAACAGTGGGATATGTTAGAGAAGATGATCCGATCAGTGAAAGGATCCTAATGGCTTGTAATCGCTGTTAGTTCACCATGACATTTTATAAGAAATATACTAAAGGTTCCCAAGTGCTATGGATTATTTTGTGTCTCTTTAAGAGATATCAAATTTTCCCTTGAATCATTAAGACTTATTAAAGGATCCTTTTGACTCCTCTTCAAATTGACATTTAAATGAATATACTAAAGTGATATGGGCTATTATTTTGTGACCCTACACAGATATTGAATTTTCTCTCTAATTTAAAGGGAATTCAAAAATTAATTGTACAGTCGATCTCCAAATTTGTTTTGGTCATCAAGAAGAGCTTATAGGACTTAAAAAGGCTCTTTAAAAGTGGAAAGGTTCATTCACCTTAAGACCTTCAACTCTACTGCACTTGGCATGTTGTCTCTATATGAATAATATTTTGATGCAAGGCTGAAAATCAATTTTATTTTATGGGTGTGTATTTGATTAAAAAATATATCATTCAATTGAGTTAAATTCTGAAGACATATTTCTTTAAATGTGATGTAACATTTTCTTATCTATTTATCGCAAAATCAATAAATCTTGAAGAAAATAAAAATGTTACCATGGTTACCAATTACTTTTTTCATGGTAATTTATTTTAAATATCTTGAATAACCATATATTCTCATCAGTTATCTTTCATTTATAGACGCCTATAATTTCATACTGGAAAGATAAGATGTTAAATGATGCCCGTGTGCTCAAGTCGTTTCGTCACATTTCTTCTTTTAATGATTTTTTATCATGATTTTCCATCACAATATATTGGCTTTGAGTAAATAAGGTTTTACGAATTGACATAAACATGTGGTATATTTGTTGTCTTGCATTGAAATAAATGCATTATATTAGCAGAGATTAAGTTGTATAATCCTTCAGTATAGCAGCTGAACAAATTGCAATTTTAGTGTAAACTTGTAAAACCTTTTCTTTTTTGGGTAAAATTACATTAGGAATTGGCAATTACATCTACTTGTAACAGGTTTTCACCTTATCGTTCACAACCTTGACTGAACATTTTATTTTGAAAAGAGATACAGGCTGTTGAAAATAATTTTTATGATCTTGTCGACTGCATCCCTTTAATACATTGTGCATGACTAAAGTTTAAGCTGTATATATAAATATTTATATAGAACCACAATTGTTACTTTATTATATTGTTACTAATTGATAATTAAAAATTAATTATATGGCAATTTGTAATTAATTTTCAGCCCAAAATTTTGACAGACATTCATGTCAACGACCCTACCATACTTGGATGTTAAACTAGGCCATTTGATGGAAAAATTATTAATCAGATGAAATGTAAATAGTAAAACAATGTTATAAATATTTTATTATTTCCATTGAATGACTTTGGCACACCTGTTGTCCAATAAATAATGAGTCATTTGCCATAGTAAATAAAAACAATTCCACTATATTACAATGAATAAGTATTTTGCAAAAACTATTCGCAATTATTGAATGAAAAATCCCCATAAAAAAGACCAAAAAAGCAAGTCCCTCGGTGAAACTGTTGCACCAAAAATTGCAGATGTATCGAAACACGCGTAACTATTGCCGCGTGATGACGGCGGCGAAGATGAAAGAAAATAAGTAGGTCAATATACTTACCTTGATTTACTGTAAGAAGGGAGACAACTCCGTCTGTTTATTTATTAATTATTTTGAACATGGCGGCGGACGATAGAGCTCCGCTATTAAAACACGATGAAAATGAATTTGATCCGTTTGAAACTTCGAGGAAAAACCTTAGAAAGTTAATTAACAGTAATGAAGGGGCGCCGTCTGAGACTATAAGTATCAGTGGTAGTGCTTCAGTGACGACACTGACCGAGTTAGACAACATTGTGGCTGTTTTTGTCGTCGCTTTTGATATACGATCAGGTGGGTGGAATTTATGTATTCAGTGTTGTTTTTAGGGTATCGCATTCGTTTTTAGAATGGAACATAAACAATTCTTAAAATATAATCGATTCTCATGGGATTTGTCTTCAAGAGTTCAAGTGAGGTGCTTATGGATTATTTTGATCATCCTGCTGTTATAATCTCGACTGAGATACGGGCATAAACTTGGAAGTAGAAATAAGAACAGATCTATGTAAATCCAAGTGTAGTATTCTGGACACTTGATTCTACTTTTCACTAACTCACTTATGATTGATATACATGCTAATGTGAAAAGTTCATTAGCTTCTACCTATGTTTAGCCAAAATGTTGTTTTGGATTTCGGGGTTTCGTCTTGCTGTTCGTTAAGAGGGCCTAATTGGATTATTTATGTGAAAGGGATATATTGTTCAACTTGGGTACATGAAAGGGATATATTGTTAACTTGGGTACGGTAGGCTACATGAAAGGGATATATTCAACTACCGTTACTGCATATATAAGGAATATAGCCTGAATATAGTCTGAAACATCTGCCTCTTCCAGCCTCTGATGGATATTTTGACAGTTTTCAGCTTGAGTAGATACTGATATGAAATTAAATTAACTTTATGATGATTGTAAATTAGTGTTGGACATCACTGTAACTTTGTTGTTGTTAGTATCTTTGAACTTTTGGCTGCATATGCAATTTTAAATGGTCAAAGCTAGATGGTTAAAAAAATTTTTTTATGGCATTGGAGAAGTGGCATAAATGGTGCAAGGAGCAAATTGTGGTATGACTGAACTACAAAAATATTCATCTTTCCAAATACTGTATATTTTATCTGAGTTTTGCAGATCTGATGTATCTAAATAAAGCTTGAAAACCTCTGCACCTGCAGAGATGCAGAATGTCCTGGTGTAATAGGGCTTCTTTTTTCTGTCTGTAAACCAGCTTACATCTGTCCAAATAGAGACAAATGTTTCGGTCTAGCTTCTGTTAAGACTTGAGTGACAAAAATACATTTGACTCTAAAGCACATGTGATTGTGAAGAATAAGTATCAATCATTATATTTTAACTTGTTTATTTGATGTTTGTATTTCATAATGAATAGAGAGTAGATCTAACCAGAAATAATTTTGTTTCCTAATTGTTATTAAAGGAAGTTGTGGAAAAATGTGTTTTGAATTTATTATCGATGCTATTTAGATACTGACTCTAATGTGTCAATTGAACCTCTATGATTTTAGATAACTGACATTGCTGTTATGAAAATTGAAAATACATTTGATTTAAATTGAAAAGCAAGCTGAAACACTTAATCAATAAAAGTGTCAAAGAACAAGTTATTGGAATGACAAAAAAGGCACAAAATGTGTTCACCATAATAGAATAAAAATAGTTATCTCATAGTACAAATTAGATCACCAGAATTGATTATAGTTTTTAACTTTGACAGTATTTGGTTATAGGTCTAGTTGGCAAGACTTTGAATGAAACATATTAGTAAATGCTCAAATCGTTCTATGTCTTTGATTTAGAAAAAAAACACTCGCCCAGTTTGTGCTTTTTTTGCCATTTCAAAAATTTGTTCTTTCTTATTTTTATTGGTTTTTCAAACTGCACCTGTAACATATTCAAGTATATTGATTATTTCTTCATTTGAGCTCACAGAGAGCCAGAAACCTGCATTAAATTGTGTGAAATTGTATTACATTGATATTGTTGACATTAACTTCTAACTCTTGTCATGCCAATTGAATATTCTATGGTATCATTTACCTGAAAATGCCACATTTCTGGCATCGGAACTATTATCAGACATTTTAATGTCTGTTTATAAAGAGGTCAAAGTTTTTTATCAATATGATGGTGTCAGTTAGCTGAAAATGACACACTTCTGAACATTGTAGTTCAATATATTTTTTTGATAGCATGAAGGATTCTAGATGTCAAGAAAGAATAGACTCCACATCAACAGCCTGTCATATTGTGCACCCTCCTTGGTGTAATCTAGTTGGCCTCATTATTACTCTCTTGCCGACAGACATACAATTGAATTTTTTGCTCATTTAAAAATGAAAATGCATTCAATTTATCCTTGACATCTATCTCATGGCCCAGAGTGTCATTTCATGTGAACTCTCTATGGTGTTATAGGAGCCGTGGTGGCGCAAAGAGTCCAGGTAAAGACTCAGTTTGTCATTGTGATGTGTCAGTGATGTCGTTGTCAATATTTCTAATTGAGATAATAACATTAGTCTTTGACAGTTAGACATACAATCTACTTCATTATAACTGGAAAGAAACTGGCTGTTCAGAATATAAAGTATTTCTACATTATTGACAGAGAGGAAGTCTTCATAAGATTCCATGAAGCAAGGCTGTTCTTCAAATTGTATTACAGTGCCTGTCTTCCTCAGCTCAGCCCACTACCCACCTTTCAGTGGCGTTTCATTGAATCATTAGATATTGGTGTAGGGGTCAAGGGGGACTATGACATTTAAGAATTTTATAAAAAATTTGAAACTGGAAAGGGGCATACCAGACCAGTATAATTCTACCCCCATCCCAGGCCGTAGCTAGAGGCCCCCTAAGAAAATTTTGTCCCCCACCCCCCTGAAAAAATTAAATGACTTAAATGACTTGTTGAGTCGCCATAGTTGAGCCCCCCTTCAAAAAATTTGGCCCCTCCTGAGACCCTGGACTAGGTACGGGCTTGCCCCATCCCCCTTATTCCTGAAATCCCATTGTTACCTCCTATGGATCTTATTTCTCTATATGTTTGAATTGTAGGTAATGTTATTGAATGGTGTGTACCAGATGATACAGATTTAGATGGGGTAGAATTTAAAGCTATGGTCAGTGGTTCTCATACACAGGACACAGATTTTGTGTAAGTTAATCAGCTTTTTCTAGATTTTCTTTATGATGTATGGAAATTGCAAGTTACCTGAAATAAGCCCTGATTATTTTTCAACTAGAAACTAGTTCAACTAGAAAGGTTTGTCAACCGCCAATGCCTTATGCTTTTCAGAGAGTCCACATAGCTTCTTCTTCATTTCTTTGTTATTATTTCAGATATTTTCGTAAAGATAATTATTATGGTTTGGCGTGTTTCGAGAATATGAGAATACAGAGTGAAATAGAACGGGGTTGTCGGATGAAATCTGTTGGTATCCTAGCAACATCATACACCACCCTATACAGACATATGCAATTTTTAGAAACACAAGTTCGGTATGTTTACTGCTCCTTGATGGATTGAACATTTTTATTCAAATCTGAATGTTAAAAAATCAATTTATTAATAGCCACTCGAAACTTTCAATTATGATGTTAACACCATCAATATAATGCAAAAATCTTAAAAAACGATTCAGCATATTTTTTCTGACTTAAGATTTGTGCAGTTATTTAAGTATTTTAAAAAAAAAAAGAAAGAAACAACTATATTTTACAAGGATAACAACTTAGGTTCACAATTATGGATCCTTTCTACTAGCTGGTCCTTGGCCAAACCTCTGGGCATTGATCTCTGGGTTGACTGGAATTATGAGTGAAGATGGCTTTTTCAAGGTTATAGGACTATCTCGTGCCGATCAAGATTGGAACCCACAGCCACCATTCGCTCGACATAACCAAGCAAATGACGTCATGTAAAAAACCAACGCTCTAACCCACTGGTGTTATAGAACCTCACTTAATAAAAACATTTTAAATTATGAAGGTTGGAATTGGTCTTTTGCTTATTTTAGGCATTTATTAGAAACGCCTGGTAAATATATGCAGTTAAAAGTATTTTACGATGATAGAAAAGGAGTAATACCGTTAAATGAAATCACGATGGATGGTTTACGACCTTCACCTTTATCTACACCATCAACCCCCAGCAGAGATCTTCTTCCAGAAATGAAAGTATGTATCCTTGCTCAGCTTTGGTTTTATTCAAATTTGCCATTAGGCCTAATTAAAGGCACATAGTCAACTATGTACCAAGGTGACATTACTAGGTGTCCTGTTTTTGCTTGTTTTACCTGAACTTCTTAAAATATCCTGGTTGTTTTTTTATTTTTGTGTTTTCCATTCCAGATAACCCATCCAGCAGGTTGCTTTTCCCAGTTTTTACAATTTTTTGGTAACCAGATATTTGTTTTATGGAAACTAGCTTTATTACAAAGAAGAATATTGTTTTTTTCTCCCCCACCAATAGGCATTGTTTGTTATAGAGGTAAATATAAGCTTTATCTATACAGTACTTCTGATATCCGAGGCAAACTAGGCACAATTCTATTGTGAAAGGCACAAAATTAACTTGTACTGTATATGGTTTCAAGTAATCTTTTGATAAGGAAGCTATTTACCACACAAACTTATATTTGTTTAAAAAATATCCAAATAAAGATTTAAAAAAAGAATATATAAATGTGCATGAGTATTATTGCAATTATATTTTTGTCAATTTTCAAATTGAAATTCTCTGAAGCGGTGAAAGACTATTTTATTAACATTGTTCAGTAAATATTGATCCCTTTCTACTTTCAGTTTATTGTGCATGTTGTTTAGGACATCACAATATTACCAATATCATGGGACAAAACCCACAACCACATTTTTATGTTAATGTAGCTGATATAGAAGCATTAGAAAATGAAGTTTCTTACATAGCCTGTAAGTAGAATGCCTTTTTTTTGGTTTTTAAGATCTTTCAGATCATTAACCCTCTAATCTCGAATATTCAAAATGTTAATGCTTTTTAGGAATCCTTTGGGAATCTTCTTGTACCAATCACTTGCCAATAGGGATGTATTTTTGCCTGATCTGCTTCATCCGACCCATCTTTTCTCATTATTCTAGCTGAAAATGGGAATGGATTATAATAAAAGAAAGTTTAATACTGAGAGGTTTAGACATGAAGCAACTGGTAGTCAACATAGACTGGATCCTTGTGATCCTTATTTGTTATCTTTGTATAAAAATGGGTGTTTCATTCTTTCTTGACAGGTACAACAGAGAAGATATTTGAAAGTAAAACTCATTTATATGATGTCTATGTTGATAATCAAATTGTAAAAGTTAATTCACCAGGGTTAAAAGAAATTTTAAAAGTCAGTGATGCTGATAAAGATAAAGCTGTTCAACTAAATAATCAAAGGTAAAATTTCATTGTTTGAATTAGGGAGATTGAAGAGATTGGGGATAAAGAAAACATCACACATCAGTTGAGATTGTGCCATTTCTCAATGTAGTATTGCATAATTAAAACAAATTTTATCTTCAAAATTTGAAAAAGGGGGCCCACGTTAAATAATATTTATAAATTTCATGCAAAGAATATCACCTAGATAATATAAAAATCAACTCTTATCATTTGAAAAAGACAAAGATCATTAGAAGGCTAAAGTACTATAATGGATCAATCTATCACAGCATCTGATATTATGGATGATGCCTAGTTTATTTTTTATTTAATATTTCAGAGCTTCCCATAGATTTGAAGTAGAAGAGTTGGGAGAAGAACAGGGATTTGATGAAGAAGATGTTTTTACAAAGTAAGAATTGAAAACTTGTTACCTTTACCAATAGTTTCACTACATGTTTATTGCTGGGACAAATAAATAACAAAAAAACAACTTTGGTATGCAGGCTTTCTTTAATTTGATTGGAAAATATCAAAATAAGGAGTATTTGTTTATCTTGAGTGAATTAAATTTTGAGATTATATTGTGCACCAGACTGTGTCTGAAGAAAGGGGGTATTTTAACATACATTATTTGTATGGAATAAGATTTTTTTTTATATAATTTTATTTTCTTTTCAGTTTTTTTGTGGAGATGAATGACAGAATATTTCAAATGTTATTAGAAATCTCAAATTCTCAGGATCGACAGTTAACGTCAGACCACATGAAAACAATGGGGCTGGATCCACAGGGTGATCGCAGCTTCCTTATGGAATTAGTCGAGCATTATGGGATAGATGTAGTATTAATGGTTGACAATCCATGCTGTCCGAAATGACAATGAATGTAATATGTAGGTATGATATCAGCGAGAGACAGTTATATTGTTAGTGAATGTGTATTTTTGAAAAATGCATGATCAGGGTTGTTCCTTCAAAATTTTTACTGTTGGACATTTTTAGCATGATCCACAAATACTTTATTACAAAATGTTATTAATACCAAACTCATCGTTGAACATTTATGAGCATCATCAGACATGACTGGTAAATATAGCTCAATCAACAGCTCTCTTGAAAAATAAAATCACCTATTGTTACAAGTAGGTTCGAATATTACTTTTAGAAAAGCTAAGATATATTGAATTCCAAAGAATGTATACATAAATCAAATGAATAATCATTCATCCAGTCTTTTCATATTGTCAAGAAATGGATAAATCATGTTAACAAATTAATTATATATTCACCATATTATAACTACATATAGTAGCTTTAGATTATATCAGTGAATTCCAAAGAATATCGTTAGTGAACATTTCTTCTTGAAAAACCAAGAATCACTTTGGTAATGATATTTACCTGAAAATGATACTTAGCTTAAACTTGAAAGCTAAAGTGAATGTTATTGAATTCCATGAATTCCAGAGAATTCCAAAATAACTTAGTGAATGAATGCAATGGAATGTATGGTTGAAAGAGGTCTTTTATGTGATTTTTAATTTCCAGATTAGATACCACTCCCCTTTTTATTGGTTAGTGTCTTATTAGATCTAGGACTACCTAGTCATAAAAATTGATAAAGTGGTATGGGTCAAAATGTGACCAAACCAACTGACAAATGAATTTTGAGCATAAGTGAAGACTGTTTTTCAAAACCTTACTTACATCATTGTATAATTTCATGAGTAAACTGTTAATGAAATATTGTTAAAACCGACCAAAACAAGTGCAAAACCAACTTTAATTATGATTATCTCAGTTTTTTTGATACATGTAGTGGCAATCAGTTTTGCTTCCAATGGTGCTTTTTCTTACAAAAATTTTGTTGATATTGTAAATTATATTGTGTATGACATAGATTTTCTTGTGAATATTAGTCAGAGCTTTTAAATAGTTATTTCACCAAGAAAGCCTTCAAGCTTTGTAAGTTATGGACATTCACATAATCAGCTTTGGTAAATTAAGTGAATAAGTTTTTGAGTAAAGTTTTCAATTGCTTTCAGTATATTATTAATCCTTCCGTCAGTCTTTAACATAAAAGAGAGTATCCAATTTGGCTTAGCTTTTAAGAATATGACCAAAGTAATATAGTAAGTAAATTAAAGGCCTGGTTTTCCTGAAAGTTTTATTAGATTTTGTCAGTTCGTTTAGTTTGTGTCCAAAATTGTACATAGTGTAGTAATAATTATAGGCCATTAAAAAACATTCCAGATATACACTGTCTCATGGTGTGTTTTAAATAAATCTAGGGTAGTATAGCATTGTTTTTAAGCAATGAGTGTAGTGTAGGTCTTACAAGTTGAATGGTTAATTTATTTCAACCATTTATTTATATCTGCCCACTAATGGTATACGTAGAATTGTCCACTTTTGTTATTAGTTTAGAGTAATTTTCAGTAACAATGTAATGAGATTCCAATAGGTATCACTGAGATACTCATGCATTGTTAATTTCTAAAGGGGAATTTCTTATCCTAGCACCATTTTTCCTCACTCCCTTACATCACATTATATAAATGGGCTTCCTTTCTGCTTCAATGTATGCTAAAGTACAATGTAAATAATTGTATGCCATGTACTCTGCTCAAGTGTGTGTTTTAAGAGACTGACTTATATTTGATCTTTGAGGCACAATGCTCAACTGTTCAAAGATGTTTCTTAGTTAATAAGATCTGTTTAGGATATCCATGTACATCCAGAGATATCAACTGGAATGGTATGAATGGTGCACAATATTGGTCTATCTGTTGGAGACATAGGTGATATTCTTTGTGTTGTTTAATTCATCTGAATGTGTATACTGGTATTTTTGATTGATCGCTTTAATCACAAGATATCTCAAAACATTATATCTATCTTATTTAAAGGGGTTTGTGCAATACTTATCATTATGAATATTTATATGAGTAAGCTAGTAACTCATCTTAATCTATCAACTACTCTTTTAATTTTCACCAGTGTTTACTACAAGGAGAAAGTATAAAATGAAATCTTTTAACATTGTTCGCTATGGCACAGTTTAAACATATCATATCAACATGTTATCTGAAGTAAGTACTAAAGTTTAAAAGTTCCTGATATTCGTGCAACAGAATTATTATTGTTCGAAGAAATATGCTTTTTGGAAAATAGTAGATATTTACTTATCGCCAATTTTTTTTTTAAGAAAGAGGTTCGGGCCTTGTGACAGGTCACAGCTGTTTCAAAGAATAGTTTGATGTATATTGCTATTTGAAAATGAAATTTGAGCTCTGTAACAGCACATTAATTCTTTCAAGAATAATATACTTAACTTTTAAGCTGTAAATTGCTATAAAAAGGTAATGTTTTTTGACATCTGGTTTTAGAGAAGAGAACTTGTGATCTCTTGTATGTTTTTGTGAGAGAGAAGTTGAGGTCTGAATGAATGTTGTTTCAAATATTTAAGCTGCACAAAATATATCTTATCCTAATACAATAGGGTGGTAAGTGGACACCAGGCCTGCTCTCGAAAGCACTGGTCATGGCTAATCTTAGGGTGAATTGTTATGTGATATTGTTTTTGTTATTATATATTATGTTGACTTCACTGAGAAATAAAAGAATTAATCTTACTTTCTTTTCTTATTGACATTGGTGGACTACAGACCAAAAATCAATGAAAAATGTGCACTGTTCATTGGATTAGTCTCCCCTTAACTGAACTTGCCCTAATCTTTCATCCTGTAAATTGTTAGGGCTGGGTCAGTTTATAGTTACATTTAGATATTGGATGTCTTTCCTTTGAAATCTGTGGGTGAGTAATAGTTTTGACCATAGGGTGATATACTGGACTAGGCTGACTCCACTGTCTAGTATTTGTATGCAAAAAATGGTGGATCATCCCATTTCTATCCCAGTATATCAAGACAAACACAAAGAAGATGTTTTCATGTTTATTTTTCACTTAAAACAAAATGGTGGTAACATATAATAATTAGTGTAGACAAGCTTCTTAAAACTAAAATTTTATTAAATTTTTGAAAGAAATTACCAAATCTAAAAAATCTTCTGAAGCTCAATATAAATATTGTAATTCACCAATAAATTTAAGATAAGGATTCCATTTTCATAAAATTTGAAGGTTCTAAACCTCAATTTTTTTTTCTCCTGAAGACATTGGTACCCCATGCAATTAATATAGTTTGCAAAGTGCTTTAGGTAGAAACTTTATCAAATGTGAAAGCCAAAAATTAGAGGCTGTATACCTACGTTTTTAACTTTTATTTTTAATTTCTTATTTGGAAGAACTGTAAAATGAATACATAGAAACATAAATACTTGAAATTTTGAGCATTGATAAAGGCACACTTATCACAAACTCAGGGATGCCAATATTATTCATTAGTTGGGTATGCTACCCACAAGCTTTCATTTTTTTTACCCCAAATGGTTTATACTTCAAATGCCTGTAATGCTATATATATAGCAAAGCATTGATGAAAATGACTATATTTTTTAAGTTTTAATTTTTTAAACTTGAATTTAATTTTGTTAAAATGTTCATGGCTTTATTTTAAAATTTAGACTATTATTATCATTTAATTCATACCATGAAAACATTACTAAGCAAGCTCCAGTTTGATTTTTGATACAAAAAATCACAAACTGAAGAAATAGCTATAACTGCTAGCATGCTTTGAGATTCAGAAATGTTTTCTTTTAACTTTTAACAAGCGTGTTTCTTAAACCTTAGGCCACTTAATGACTAAGTTTTTACCAAATGAGTTCACACTTAAAGTCCAAACACATTAAATCACAAAGCATGAAAATCGTGGGAGAATTTCCCAAGTGAAAAACAAAGCTAAGCTCATGCATTCCAACCACTGAGAGGTTAGATTCACAGTTCCTTAAAGCATGGATAACAAAATATCACGTATAATTAATGATAATAATAATAATAATAATAATAATGCTAAATATATGATATGGATGAACATGAATAGGATTTTCACAGTTTTTCATTTTTTTACATTTTTTTTTTTTTCATTTTTTATGATTTTTTTCAAAGTTTGCAAGCATGTAAATTTATGCATAATTTACAATGTATTTTATGAAAATGAAATGAATATTTCATCAAATAAAAAATCATGATACAAAACTTGCGACTTAGGAATTATCTGAAAAGATATCTAAGTAGCTTTCCTTAAAATATTGAAAACTGTAAATGTTCAAAGATTAAAAAAAAATTGAATAAGGCCTATAAAATAACTAAATTTCTGACTGAGAAAAATTTAAAAGGTACCTAAGTAGCATTTTTTAAAATATTTTCAATTGTGAATCTTCAGAAAAAAGTAAATGAGTATTTAAAGAAAAGTGGTGATACACTATGCTATGTTATATCTGGCCCCCTTCTCTAATTGCAAAAATAACGACAAAATCATGAATAAATTAATCCTCTTCAAATAAAATGAAACAAGGTACTAGAAATCTGAAATATAAATTCAAATGTAATAAAAGAACATTATTTAACTACTCTCTATATTTGGTGGCCTAAAGTTTTGTGATGCTAAGTTTCACTTTCTAAATATGCCATATTTCAGGGCTTAAACAAAGAAAAAATTTTTATCAATTCGACCAACTAAACTTTGTACTTTCATTATATATGTGCCTGCAAATTATGATCTATCAGACAAGATTTTTTTTATGATTAATTCTTATGAAAAGATTAGATAATATGAATAAAAATATGGTTTGGCACAATCTCAAAATAATATCAAATTGAAGGATTCGGAACTGATTTCATTTGCAAAAAAAAAACACATGTGAATGCATATCGTTACAGTATTGCAAATTTTTCCAAATTTAAAAATATTAT